AGAGAAATATATTCTGATTAAAAGCGGCTCAGATCCAGGCAGCTAAACGCTTGATACTGTAGCTTAATTAGTGGAATCGGAAGCATGATGCTAGGTTAATTATAGTGGTGAACACAATAAAAATAGAATTGACACGATAAACCGGTGAACCCCTGAATATTGCATGAGATGAAATGTGATTTGGATGACGTTCAAACAAAACCGTGAATTGGAAACTCACCAATACTTTCCATTGCGGAAAGGAGGACTGGACGCAGGAATTGATATCTTGAACGAGACTTTGACCTCTCGGGAAAGAACCAAGACCCAGTGCAGGCTGATTTTAAGTTATGCTTGTGAGGGAAAAGTTTTTTATGCTGGAGCTTGCTGTATAATAGTGGAGTAACAAATGAATAATTAAGTTCTCCTAAGAAAATTATTTATTTGTGAGAGGCTTCACCAAACTTACACCGGGTAGCCGAATCACAAAGGAGCTTGGGTCTTGAAGAGGCTTGGGGGCAGGATGAATATAACTTTTACGAGTGGTAAAATAAAAGTCCATCAGCTGTTTGAATGAGATATGTTAGAGAGGACGAAGTCCAAAAGACTAACAATACCCAACATTCCTTACCTAATGGGCGTGCTTACGGAATCAGTGTTCAAGCAGAATCGGAATTGTTTTGACGGTCTTCGATCACAATCAGTCACTCGATGAGGGCATACAGGAAGACATGGAGCTATTGCGATAAGAAAAAACATCTACGCTATCGGCACACCGAGTTGGGGGTGGCGAATAAAAACAGGAATAGTCATGCGCAAACACTTAGGCTGATATAAATGTTAGCGTGTGGCTACTTTACTTGCAATCTGGCAATAAATCATTTGTAAACACAGAGTATTACTTTGAAGACAGGCATCACGCTCACCTGATCCATACAAAAAGCGGATGCCTGAGATGTGGAGATGTGGGGAATTGTTACATCCAACGGGGGACGCTGAATGTACAGTTAAGAGTACGCTGAAATCAGTGGATGAAACTTGTAATATGAGTCTAGTGGTGCCATTCTTTCTATGAGGTGAGCGGGAAAGCACCCATAATAAAGGTTCGTCCCTTTCATGGGAGGCCGTATGTCAATCTCTGCGAAGTCGACTCTGGTTATCAAATGATAATGATACCGATAAAGATTATGATGTACCCAATAGACGATACACGCCCTCCAATCTTTGAAACCATGGACTGTGGGTGAAACTCGTTTGTGGAACTCTATTCATATTTGTGGTGAACATTGACTCTATTCTATTCATTCTGTCTAGTGTATTTTTATATGCACTTGTTTTACAATGCGATTGATAGTACCCCCGCGATATTCGAGAATATACGATATTCATTCGTCCATATTCGGACTTCTATACTACGCGTACATTCGGTAGTTAAGATACCTACCACTATATTAATTATCACATTTGGCGTCGCGATCCGGAATTTTTTTCTCTTCATCACAATGTTATCTGAATTGGAATCGCTCAGTGTAAATTCAACTGCACGGGAGGTGGAGGATTATTTGGAACGCTTCAGCATTTGGTGTCTTACCAAATCGGATCTGGATGATAAAAAGAAGACAGCTTATTTCCTGCACTACATTGGGAAGGATGCTTATGCTCTTGTGAAGAATTTATCATTCCCTACGGCGCCGATCGATTGCACATTCGATGTTCTAAAGAAGTTAATTCTCAGTCATTTTAAGCCTATCAATTTTGTGGCCGCAGAACGAGCGAAATTCAATTCGCTTATTCGATCCGAATCTCAGAGTATTCGTGATTTTGTCCTCCAACTGCAAACACAGGCTGCAAAATGTGACTACGGCCAACAACTTGAAAGCCAACTGAGTGATCGCCTCATTGCCGGAATTAATCTTCCAGATCTACAACAAAAGCTCCTAGTACAGACTGATCAACGCTTCATATCGATCAGAAAAATTTGCGAGCAATACCAGGATGTTAAAGAAGTAACCAAATGCAACGAGACCGTTTTATTTAATGCACTAAAGTCGAAAGGGCTGGAAGGTCGCCCACACGGTAAATTTGAAACCAATATGCGTTATCATAACAAAAACAACCAACTGAATTCGAACATTCAAAATCGTCAAATACGCCAACCAAAAAAAGTTCTTGGCAAATGTGCTTCGTGTGGACAGGACCACTCCAGATATACTTGCATACATCGCCAATCAAAATGTTTTTCATGTGGTAAGATTGGGCATATTCAGAATGTATGTAAGTCCAAAAGAGTTTGTAGACTGACTGTCGACTCAAATTCTGATATCAAGCCTTTGACTGATAACATCTCATCCATGTCTTTATCTGTTTTATCGAATTCTATGCATGTGTCGAAGACGCTCATATCAGGCTCTGGTAAAAAGCATAGTTTTATCATTGATACTGGCAGCGTCGAATCCATTATTCCTGAGTCAGATCTTATAGCATTTTATCCTACTGCTGTTTTAAAACCGACACAATTATCTGTTAGAGGTATCACTGGACATGCTTTACCGCTTCTTGGTTCATGTACTATACCAGTCAAAGTTTCCAGTGGTAACTTTGTTGATTGTAATTTTCTTGTATCGAATTCTGGTCCTTCAATAATTGGTCTCAAAGTTTTACGTGCGCTTAACGTTAACATTTCACTACTTACTTCAAATTTCAACGAAACCGAATTGAAACAACTGATCACGAGCTGCTCCAAAGTCACCGGAGGAATGCGCATACCAAAAGTGAAACTCGAGGTTTCTGGTGATCCGATTTTCCTCAAACGACGTATAGTACCTTTTGGTTTGCGTGAACCAGTGCGTCTAGCTCTAGATTCATTGTGCCAAAAAGGTATTCTGACACCTGTCGAGTCTTCCAAATGGGCTACGCCGATTGTTACGCCATTAAAGTCTGATGGTAAAACTGTTAGAATTTGTGGCGATTATCGATTGACACTCAACAAAAGCCTACTTCAACGCTCGTGTGCTACAGAAGAACCTGAAGATGTGTTGTATCGTCTAGCGGGATCAAAAATCTTTTCAAAAATAGACTTGAAGGATGCATACTTGCAGATACCACTTGATGATGCTACTAGTGAATGCACAGTCATCAATACACCATTTGGATTATATCGGTATAATTTCTTGCCATTCGGACTTAATGTCTCTCCTGCTGTATTTCAAGATGTGATTAATTCAATTACTGACGGTCTTGAAGGTGTTGTAACTTATCAAGATGACGTGATAGTTCATGCTGTCGATAAGGTTACGCACGATTCACGCTTGCTTGCATTATTCAAAAGATTTCATGACTTAAATGTTGCCGTTAATTCTTCGAAATGTGCATTTTCTGTTTACAAACTATCATGTTTAGGCTACACTGTTGATGGAAATGGTTTTTCTCCTGATAATGAACGTTTATCGCCTTTAGTCAATGCTCCATCCCCTTCTAATCTGTCCGAACTTCGTTCCATACTTGGTGCATTGCAATATTATTCCCGATTCATACCTAACTTTTCTCAGAAAGCTTATTGTCTATTTGAACTGTTATCTCTGAAAACATTTTCATGGATATCTGAGCATGAGAAAACTTTGCGTTCTTTACTCAATTATCTTAAATCTGACGCTATTTTGAAACCATTTTCTGCGAAAGATCATTCAACCGTTATAACTGATGCGTCTCCAACTGGATTAGGTGTTATTCTCGAACAAAATGGCCGTCCTGTCATTTGTGCATCCCGTCGACTAACACAAGCCGAACAGGGCTATTCTCAAACACAGCGTGAAGCTCTTGCTGTCTACTGGGGTGTAAGTAGACTACACAAGTATCTTTTTGGTAAACCATTCACGATTGTGACCGATCATGAAGCCTTGAAATTCATATACCATCCTATGAAATCATTGGCTAAGTCATCCGCAGCCATGGTTCAACGTTGGAGCATCGCTCTCAGTTCGTATACATATGACATTATTCATCGTGGTGCTAAATCCATTCAGCACGTCGATTATCTATCCAGAGTTCCAGAAAGTTTATCACAATCTAATGTTTCTGATTGTTTGTTAGTACAACCGCTTCCGATTAAACGAGACGAGCTTGTGCGTGATACCCGAAAATACTTTTCATCCGTTATCTCTGCATTAAGACGAGGATGGACGCACCAAGAACGTCGTCGATTTCCCGCATTTTATGCTCGTCGAGACAGTTTAGCATTGACACCTGATGGATTGTTGTGTTATAACGATCGTGTCGTGATTCCACCAACACACAGAAGTGCCATTTTATCCGATTTGCATTCCGGACATCTAGGCATCGACAAAATGAAGTCTCTTGCCAGACTTACTTGTTGGTGGCCAGAGTTGGATGCAGACATTGCGCGTACGGCTAAGGATTGTATGAACTGTACACACAAAATTCATTCCAAATCATCCAAATGGATTCCTTGGCCATTGTCCTGTGAAACATGGCAACGCATTCATGCAGATTATTGCGGTCCATTTTTGAACAAATATTATGCACTGGTGGTTGTAGATTCCTATTCACGCTGGACGGAAGTATTTCTCACGACATCCCCGAGTTCTGAGTTTACTCAGTATGCTTTGAGGAAACTATTTAGTCGTGAAGGTGTACCAATTGTTTTGGTCACTGATAACGGCTCACACTTCACAGCGAAATCTCTCGAATATTGGTTAAAAGGACTTGGTTGTCGTCATTTATTTACTGCTCCCCGTCATCCACAGTCTAATGGACTCGCTGAAAATTTTGTTCGAACTTTGAAATCTGCCATCAATTCTATTTCCCCTGTTACTTTTCATGATCTTGATCGAGGTATTGATAATTTCTTGATGCAGTACAGGAATGCTGCTCATTCAATTACTGGTAAGAGTCCAGCAGAGCTATTCAAGTCGAGATCCTTACGCACGAACCTGGAATGCATTGGGACTGCCGACGTAACATTTTTCAAGGGTAACGATCTACGTCCATCTACTGGTGTTGTTATTGGGAGGAACGGGAATCGTATGGTCACGGTTCTTGAGCTTGAAGATCTCTCAAGTCACAGACGGCATGTTGATCAGGTCGAATTCAATGCTAGAGGTCAGTTTGGCGACAATGCGTCTGTCGCTTCAAACACTGATGACCTTTCTGATTCTCTTACAGATGGTTCTGATGAGCATGAAACAAACACTGAACCTGACAATCCGACGTTGAGAAGATCTGAACTTTGAGGTTCACGTTTGAGGTTCCAACCTATTAGAGACTATAAACACCCACGCGCTCATTCAACGTGTGGTGGATGTGGTGAACATTGACTCTATTCTATTCATTCTGTTTAGTGTATTTTTATATGCCTTTGTCTTACGATGCGATTGATGGTACGCCCGCAATATTCGAGAATATATGATATTCATTCGTCCATATTCGGACTTCTATACTACGCGTACATTCGGTAGTTAAGATACCTGTCGCTATTGTAATTATCACAATATTTCAATCTAAATTAATGTGTTCTTGAATTTAGAGATCCAAACTTTCATCGATCTACTGAGTAACATGCAGTCCCGTCCCATATCAACAGCCAATAGAATTTTCAATCGAGCTGCTTTGGTAAACAGGTGGGCGATGAAATGAATTGGATGAAGAGCGATTACGTAATCAACTCAATTTTGCCGCCGTAACCTCTGCAGAAGAGCACGAAAGGTTTACGAATTTATAGAACCGCAAACAGGCTAATTTTGTAAAAAAAATTCAGTAGCTTGTGGGAAATCACGAAGAGGGATGAAAGGAGCACACAATAGAGGGGCTGGTAGATGAATTGAAGTGAAGTTAAAAATTTTCCAACCGGAGGCAACAAAACAAACATGTACATATATACGGGACGGTAGTTCATCGTCAACCAATCCTGGTATGACCTTGGTTGCTGCCACGAACATGGATAGTTCAGANTAATCCTAAATAATCCGCATCCCTAGTGTATGAACACCGTAGAGAGCTGTCACAGATACAACGCCACACAAGCTCACGTTACACCTTGGGGTTTGGTGCGAATTATATGCAATAGGGGTTCCAACGACATAGACACAGAAATGAAAATATTGAATGAGACAGTTGCAAGTGGTTATATGCAAGAACAGTGGATTGAAGTTGTGGTCATTGGAAAGTTGAAGGATTTCAGACAAGCGACTGGATGGCTAATTAAGAAGCTAGTTTACAGATCGCGACCATGTCTTCCGTAGATAAGTAGATTTTAGCGCCATTTCTGGCCTTTTTAACCCCCTCCGACATTGGACACTCGGATTCATTAGACGCGGTGAGTCGGTAGCAATAACCCGTTGATTGTGACATTATTCTGAGTTTAACGGGCTGTAGTCTTAGACTATCCATTCTGGTCTGTAACCAAGACAAGAAGATGGCACTGGGAGGTTACGCAAAAACAGCTTTTCGGAAACTTGGGGCACACTAAATTCTGGCTGTGGTGTATTTTACGCTGACAGGCAGCTAGGTTTATAGACTACAACATTTCGTGGAGCGATTCAGGTTGCATTTCAAAGCGCTGAGACAGGGGATTGTTGAATATTCTGAGTTCATGAGGACTCACTTAGTTATAAGTAAACTCCAAGTGAGAATAGGGGCCAAACAAACGAGAAGAGTGACTTTTCTAAAAAGGCAATACTCACATCACAGTAGGCCTTGACGATGACGTTGTGATGCACGCTAGCTTCCACCTGGAGCACCAAACTCCTGGAGAGGCTCAAGATAGACCGGTTGCGTTTCGTGCCGGCATGAGATGATGCAACGGTTGAGAAGTTAAATGTTGTTACTGCTCTTTTGTGGCAGCTTTTTGAGACTTTATTTTGTTTTTTTTTTTACGAGAAGCAAGCTTAGACGGGGTGAATTTCCGTGCGAATGTGGATGCAAAGTGCGTAAAACTGCGCATGAACGAGCAAAGTTAAGTTTATTTCAAAAATTCCATACCGCTTAGTATTTACTTCAGGTGGGCGACTGTAAAGATTACAGATTACCCAAAAGTCAATTCACCGTATACGGTTTTCAGTGGAGGTGCAATGTTGTGTAAAATTTTCAGGGATTAGGAGAGGTTAGGACTGGCAAAATAGATCCACTTATTAGGTTCTATTTTAATTATATCGATTGTACAAATTTGAAGACCTTTGTTGAGCTCGCGGTTACTCAGGAGATACAGACATTTTGGAAAGCCATATAGTTGTGAATCTATGACTGCCTGTCCCTGGAAATCAATTCTGTGATAGATGATGCCGATTGTCGCATGAGCTAGATTCAAGCGATATCACCCAAACAAAACACGAAGATTTAGCATTTTCCAGGGGATGACCGGTTGGATTTGTTTCAGCAAACTTCCATGAACACCGTTATTGATCACTGATCATTGATCATGATTTGATCGTCAACAACAGAGAGAGGCACACATTCATAATGTTTCACAGTAACTTCTTACTTTAAATGGACTGAAAACCTTGATTTTGTTTACTGAAATAGTCAGACCTAAATAGGTGCGCTGGGGATGGCATATTCTAAGATCAGAAAAATAAGATGAGGCGACTTCCTGTAAAAAATCACGTGAAAATGCGTTTATTGGATGAGCTAACTGTAATTAACCTGATATATCAGCCTGGCATTCAACTAAAGGTTAAGGATATAGATAGGTCGTCCGTAAATTAGACAGCCTTAGGTGATTACAAGAATCTATTATTAAGACCTGAATTTATGCTGTATTATAGACGAGGAAGCGCATGGTGCTATAAAGGTGATTGGTTGAGACTTATGCTGCTGCAGCTAATAACCATCGTCCATGAAACGTACCTGTCCTTGACGCCCCAGATTGAAGTTGAAGTTGGTGTAAATTCGTAATGAATGAATGCCGTCATTACGAGCCCTTGAGGAGTTGCGCGTAGGAATATTTTCAGGAATCGTTAGACCTCATACTCAGAAGTTTGATGTGTATATTTAGCAGGATTTGCGTGCCTAATGCGGATTTGACCTGGTGTTAGTCGAAGATAATTTCTACAAACCTATTTATCCTGATTTATTCACAACTAAGCTTTGCAGTTTGGCTACAAGACCGCGTTATCTGTTTGAGTAAGTTCTCTAGAAATGCACTGGACAGAACGAACATGTGGGCTTTGCAAATATTCGGCGGAAGCTTGTTACATATCACACAAAGCCCAAGTCTCGCGTACAAACGTTTCGAAGGTCTTTTGAAACAAAATGGTCACACGAAGTGTTAATAAAAATATCTACCGATAGCTCCTGAAATAATTTTTTTATAGTTGCTCGGATATTGTCCAGCTTAGACACACTCAATTCCAACCGATGACAAACACGGTGGAAGATAGCCTTATTTAGCCCGTCACTACAGTGGTAAACCAGAGAGCTCAACTACTGAGTGCCACGGGCTATATCTCGGGCAACATTTAGCTGGGAATACTAACAAAATGATCCCAAGTCAGAGGTTTTACAGCAAGATGGAGAAGGCCAGTCTTTGATAATGATAGGATATAAACGATTACCCTTAGCAGTATATCCGATGAAGACGTTAGCGCATAGCACATGACCAGAATGCAGGTTACTCACATCACTCTCGTTCCAACAATCGTCCTCCGATCCCCGCGTAAATACCCCGGTGAGCCTACAACAAACACCAAAATATCGGTCCACTTTGGGCTTAGAAAAGGAAGGAAATGTTCAGTGGTTAGAAAATATATTCAACATTGGGTGACTCATTTTGCTGGATGTTTCACACCTAACAGATGCAGCCGGATATTATAATATTGAACTTTTCTGCAATATCTGTAATGCTATAAACTTTCCTAAAACGGTCCGTTGGTCTTCATGCACTTTTTTCAATATATTAGGACACCTTAACACTAGGCATAGGAAAATATCTCGGTGCAGACGTCCACGACAATGCAAACTCGAGAGATTCCGGTGACCGAATCTTTAGGCATGTGCGCATGACGCTGATGCTAAGTACGGCGATAGTTTCTCGGAGATGAACGTCAAAACGTAATAAACCCAAATGCTTCTTGACAACAAGGTCAATGGTCTTACAATTTAGGGGTCGATTAAACATATCATGAACACATGCGGCAATCATGTTGCTAAGGTAAATTATTTTAAACTTCACAAGGTTATTTCGTTCCACATTGCATATTATAATATGCTGTGAATGGAACTAAATAAGCCTCAGCTGACACTGCAATGTAAAGTGACGGTATAACAAATAACTTCCATTGGTTTGTCTGATGTATATATATATATATATGTATATATATAGACAAAATCAAGTGGCGGACCCATATTCGCTTCGGCTGTTTCCACTAGTGTTTGACGCCCGACCTCAGAATGCTCCGGTAATGCAAGATGAATCGCTCTGAGCGCTTTAGTTGGGTCGGTCTAGCAGTTTGTATGGTTTAAGTGAGCTGTATTCGTGGTGGCCATGTACCTAGCCTGTCCGGTTCCCAAACCGATGCCTGGCCATTGCTTACCAATTCTGTGTGATAGTTATCGAGTCATGCGACGCAGACAGTTTGCTGAGCACTGGCAAACAAGCAAGTAAATGACCACTAGTAAATCGTTCTTATGGTGCCTAGTTGATACGAGGAAAGCACCAGGGCTGAGATGCTACAAGTACGCCCAAGCCTGGAAAGCAGCCGCCAAAAGGCAGGGGTCCAATTAGAACCACCAAATTCCCAGCCGGTTAACCACCTCAGGCTCCGGCGACTGATGCGCGTCTGCCGTTCAGTAAATGACCATTGATGAAGTGTGACCTCAATTGTGCTCCATGAGTGTCCATTTCATGATAGCATTTTAGCGGCCATATTGGTTCTAAAACCACACTGATGTAGGTGAGATCTCTCGTGTTTTCACTCAACGCTAAGCTTGAGAAATGGTTTTTTAAAACTGTCCTATGTATTCACCTTGCGTCCGTATTTTACGTAGAAGCTACCGTTTGGCATCGGGAATATCACGGTCACAGATTCCACAGACTGTGTAGGCTACAGAGTTGACTAGGTTTCTCTAACGCCTCATGTCCACATCAATGTAGGCGTTGATGTAGTAGCCTAATCACTTATTTTTTAAAAGTACCCGTTTTCGGTGATCTGCCTGCTTGTCAATGCAGCATGCAGGATTTAGAACGTAGAACTCCGGGCTGAAGGACTTCTTAACGGGTTCCACGGATGATAAAAATGCCTTCAGCGTGAGTTTTCTAAATAGATAATGTTTCAGTAACTGGTTTCAAAACAGTTTGCCGAAAGTTGCTTACAAATGTGTGCGAATAGTTGTACGGCTTTCACCACCTCTTTAGTCCTTTTACATATTTTCATACTGATTGTTATCGAAGTCACGTTACGTAGCAAACCTTGTTTTCCCTAAGATGTTCATATTGATGTGTGCGGTAAAACTTCATGTGGATTGGTCTGCGTGGATTATCTAAAAGAAAGCTTTTGGCTTAAACCGGTTAAAACTGCACTGAAGATCCCATAAATTATTAGATTACGTGTTCACCAGCATTTCACATCGTAAAAGACCACCTCTTTTATGTAATTTTTCTAAAACAGCTGTCCATATTGTTAGTTTGGGAGGTGGAATTTTTAGAGTGGAGATGAGGATCAAACTAAGGCTGACGGAGTTCACCATGTGGTTCATTTAGCCATCCAGACCAGTTAACATTGATATTACTACCAGGCTGATTGAAGCAATATTGTACGAGATAGTCACGGTTTCCCTGTCTGTCACTGGTGCTTATCCTTGCGTGTCTGTGTCATTGGAATATCAAACGGCTTACCCACGCCGGCTATGTCCGTGCTTGACCCTAATCGTTGCGTGCTACTGATCAAAAATTTGTCATGGTTATTAGTCACGCAGCGTCAACCTCATTCACGGCAGGTTCTCAGACGGTCGTTCTGCTTTACTATGGAACAAACTCAGTCAGTTAAAGCGCATGCTAGTGCTCCTAAATATAATGGATGAAGAAATCGACTGGTAATGTGTGGCCGGAAATCTTGTTAAAATCGGGAATTATTCGGTACGGGTCCTTTAGTCTGCTGTTCAGCAAAAACAGAACTGTCTCACTAGACGTCACTGCGTAGGCGGACTTCATAGAATTGTAAGAGGACGTATAAGGAACAAGGTAGAAGGAACAGCTTGTCAGCAGGTGAAAAAAGTCACGTGCATCAGACCACTGAAAGAACCTGCTTCCGAACCTTTCGTACAAACCAAGCTGGATGGTGAAGTCTAATCTGTATGTCTTTTCACTAAGGAACGCTGGTTTAGGCTCAGTTATTGTAACAACAAACAGAATGAACCAGTCGGATATAACCGGCAACTTGCTTGTAAAGTTGATTGGACCGCAAGATTTACTTATTCCGGCTGAACACAGCAGAATAAATTTCACCACTCTATGATATACATAACTAAATTGGGACATTCGAAACCAGGTCGTCGTATGTTTAAATTTGGTTGACGGATACGGTGTCTTAAGTTTGGTAGCCCGCAGTGATTAATAAATACATCAAGGATCTTTGTATATATACATGAACCTCATTACTGAAGTTTTTGACGCAAGATGCATTTGCGCTCATCTGTTGTTCCTGTCTGACTTGTAATGTCTTCATACGAACCAGCCGTATTCTGTGAGCAGATTATCCTAAATATGAAGTGGCGTTACCGTGAATTCCTATGGTACAGCATTTTCGCCCTGAAATGTTTCAGTTACAAATAAAAGTTACTCAGGAGGCTGAAGGGCATTGTAAATATTGATGCTTGTAAATGATTATCACAAGAGCTTTGCTGTCTTTTTCAGATTGGATGTCCAACGCAATCTTGATGTTTCAACTGAGTGGCACCCTTCACCCATGGTTTTCGAGGAATCAAAACCAAGATTCAAGTGTGGAAATATCTCAGTTGTAACATGAATTATAAATTTATTAAATCTTTACAAGAAAGTCTCTTGAATAATTGCATAAAACTTACTTTTCCAGTGAGAACATCATTCTTTGGGATGGAGCACAGGACAGGTGTAATGACCTTGAAATATAACAGAAAAAGATGAGGCCTGCTTAATAGTATCAACATTAATGGGGAAACATACGCCAGACGAGCGTGGGACATTTTCGCCACATTTACACGTTTGTCCTTACGGCTTCTAGGCAGTAATAATCATACAGTTTGTCACAGTCAGTCTAACGCTGAGTAAAATACTGCGCCTACAGTTACGAATTCCTATTTCTTTGCCATGTAGGTCTTTTTTTCTCAAAAAAATCAGACTAATTGGGAACGAAGTATTCGCCTCATCATGACAGGCAATCTAAATCATAACGAGAAGCTGAAATTTTCCGGAGCGATAAATTTAGTAAACTGAGACTTGCTATCCAGTCCTAATTAGCTTCCTACGCTCTCGTTAGCCGGGTTCACTCGCGCATGATTAGAAATGCCCTTCATAGAAATCCCCTCTTATGACCGAAGCGCATTTGTCCTCCCATGGGTTATCGAGTTTCATTGTTTTTCAGTCACCAGTTTTCACGTTTTATGCTAGTGCGATTCAACTTCAGGCGAATTTGCTGCCACCTTGCGTCTATGACTTCAAAACTTTTGGTGGTGTTGATGAAGTCATTATATCGTTTTCTAAATATCTTCATCGGTTTCCTAATAAAACCTCGTTAAACAATGGATTTTGGAAAACAAAGCTTTTGTATCGTTTACTTGGAGGCTTTGTTAGCAGTCCTTGGCAGTCAGCAGTATGGGTTTGAATGAAGGCAGGCAAACTGAATTGCCAGGCAGAATCAGATGTCTACGGTACTTGCTTCTCCGTACGAGGTAGTGCGTAATCCGCTGGTATGTTGTTTTTCCAAAAGATCGCTAAATGTGTTGTTTGTCGTACTGGTTAACTTGTTGATTTCTGTGTCCTACTATTGGTTTGAAGGTGACAATTTTCTTACCCAGAAGGGTGAAATTCACAATCGTGTTTATTACAGGTGAGGTGGGATCCTAGATAGCTTAATCGGAAGTGCGATTTTGTTCTCATTAGGGATTGTTCCATGGTCGTAGCCAAATAAGCTGCATGACCCTTGGTTGGATCTCACTAATCTGTCCCCTGGATTTCTCGCAACTGGTGAAGCATACCTGCTGTGTTCAATAAAATGGTGGGGAGATTAAATTTTAGACCATTTTTTTTACAAAACTGTCGACTTCTTTGGTGAATATTCGCTTTATGGAGATTGGTTTTGCAATCGCAGACGATAAAAATGTTAGGTTTCCTGATTTCTTACTAGCCACCCTATGAATCTGAATGCAGACTTCAGATACAATCATACGGAGGTACGATATAAAAATGTCAGATTTATAACAATCTAACCTACTCTAGGAGCTTTTTGCTAAAAAAGGCTGACCACCTACTCAGTCTTATAGTTTAGCTGATGAAAGCTTAAATTTGGAAGTCCGTTCGTAATCTGGAGTTTTGTTTCTAAATAAGCTTTAGGACACTCAAATGCATGGGCAGGTGTAAATAAAAAAGGACGATGATATATCGATGACCTCAAAATCCAGATGATATGAATTACCTTGTGGTGCGCTGACTGATGATAAGTATTTGGGGAAGTGTATTGAGCACTGAATCTTTCTCAATATGTACATGTTTTCAATGTTGAGGCGTCCGTTTTAGATACCATATGAACTGAATTGAGCATGATATTTAACTCGTTTGGAGTCAACCGACTTCGAGTTCCAGAAGGTCCATTCTATCAAGAAATGAGAGCATATGTTTGGTTGACTGATTAGAAAGTGCGATAAAACACGACTATTGTGTTGAGGCAGCTTTTGTGAATGTGAACATATTTTCACAGCGTTGTATATTTTCACAAAGACTATTTTGTTGAGTAAAATAAATAAATGACCTGGAAACAAGGGTTGCTGTAAACATGAGAGCATATATTTGGTGTTTTTATCTAGTTGCATTCCACACGCACCAAAACCGCGCGCTTCAATTTTAGCAATGTTTAGGATTGATGCAATTAAAGGAAATTATGAACTGTTGTTCATCATCTTAATTAGACGGATTAGACATCTCATTACCGTGGCTATCTAACCTCTAAAAGTATGAAACAACCGAAGGTATAACCAACAAAGTTGGCCTTGGATACAGCCTGTGAAGACTCCCCAATGAGCCCTTATTTATTCGTATGCTTTTTATTCGGAAAAATACTTTCCTTATGAGAGATAAGCAAACGCATTATCTGTTAGCTTTTAAACCTAGGTCGGGCTTCGTTTTCGATAATTTGCAACAGTCACGCATCAAAATCTTATCGACAGTCTCCCCCGAAGTAGAGAGAGCATGAGTGAACAGTTTTCAAAACAAACCACATTCAGTTGTTCTTTGAGCGTCCTTTCGGGAAAAGATTACACTACAGACGAGTTTGAATATCACTTACCACTGGGATTGTGCCTTATTGAGGAAAAACCAAATTTATAATCTATATTTAAGAAACTAAGAAGGTGTTATAACACGCTGCTCACATGGGCTGTTTATTTCATCTGCGTTTGGCCGCTGAAAAAACTAGTTAAATGTCAAAATGAAGATATGTAAAAACTGGATTTTGACGTGTTTATACTGAGAAAACTGTGCAGCTGCAACAGCA